GTGGCTGTGTTGGTAAATTCTTATAGATTAGGGTTTTGTATTTAATATTACAATAAACAAACTTTAAGCATGGAAATATTTGGAATTAAGGAATATCTTCAGCTTTCTTTCATCCCAAAGTATAGCCCTCCTATTAGTATGAAACCATCTAGCCAGGAATTTGAAAGTGTTCTGTCACATTCTGTGGGGATGTAGAGAGATTGACTTTACTGTGTTCTAGAAGAGTGTCTCATTGTATATTTGAGAAAGACTAGGTCTTCTTGTCTTCCTGTTTGCTACCTTTCCCTTATTAGAAGTTGGGATTAATTTACAAATCTTAATGTAGTCCAGAGCCCAAGGAAAGTGTTGTAACCCGCTTCAGTTACTGAAACCCACCCCAACGGGGGACAGGGCAGTAATGGAGACTGGACCATGGACTTGAGGTTTGGGGGTACCAGTGTTATAAGGTGAGAAAAGGGAGAAATCACATTTTGAGAGGCTGAATCTTGGAGTCTTTATTAAAAAGCTGATGACTGCATGGTGGACTCCTGTCTCAAAGACTAGCAGGCAGAAAACACACTTAATACTGTTAGGAAACTGAATCATGAAGGCTGGAGAGGAAAGAAAGAACAAAAGCAATTCCCACAAACCAATTCAGCTCCAATGGAGAGCTGAATTGGGTCGCCACGATGACCAGAGAAGAACCAGGAGCCAGGACATAAACATCGAGACATGTGGCATGGCCTGATGGCACCTGAGCTGGTCTGGACCTAAATAGGGCCAGGTCAGGGGGCAGGGTAAGGGGAAACTCCCAGGCCCAGGCACTGAACTGACAGGTTTAGTAACCTATCAGCCATGTCCCCGCCCCTGCCTCCAGGGATTCAGGCACATCCATCACCTGGGAGGCAGGGCTTCACCTTCGCCCGTCATGAAGATAAGATGCCAGACCCTACCATCCACCAGGTGGCCAAGATGGAAGTGGCCAGACCCGATTGCCCTATTTCACCAGGGAACCTACAGCCTTCAGCCAGCTTCAGATCCCAAGGTTCCATTCACCAAGGGTTTTGTTTAGGGTAGTATGTGCAGAAAGTAAGGTAAAAGCATCAGTATGTGACAATATTTTATATACAAGTGGTAGATGACTTCTTTATCTTGGAATAAGAGCTACACAGTAAACAGCTTATAATTTGCATAAAGCTTAGTCTAATCCCAGGCTCCCAGGCAGTTTAGAGTGGAATTAGCCCATGCCCAGGATAGAAATCTAAATTCCTGTTAAGCCTGGGTGCATTGACCTTTCTAGAGAACTCTCAGCATCCTGAGAGTTTTTATTGGGAGAACGGCTTTCCAGGTGCCCAATCTTTTTGGGTCTGACAGCTCTGCTTTTCTGGCTCTCACAAGACAGGGCAGTAGTTTCTGTCCTGAAACTCCTTTAGGGGAAAAGGAGGAATAGGCTTTATGCGATTGGAGTGGCTAACGTGGATGTGTTGCTATATTCCTTTGCCTACTGAACTCCTTCACCACCTTCTATAATGGGCAGAACACACATATGACTGTGGTTGTAATGCTGAGATTTCTAAAATGGCCTAAACCTCACATGTAAAAAGTGCCCTGCTTCCTTATTGCTTTACTCATGACAGGCTTGTCAGCAGCTGGAGTCTGCTTCCCATGGTGCACATCTGTAGCAGTGTTAGTTTCCCAATGTCACAGGGCCTTTACTTCCCCCTTCAAACTTCCAACAACAGCTTCTTGAGTAGCCTGCTAACTCAGAGTACCACACCTGTTCTCCTCAGTGGGGTTGCGAAGAAGAAAGTTGAAATGCTACTGGAATGGTTCTGTGCCAACTGACACCAGTGAGCATGTTGTCGGAAGTCAAATGTCACACCTGGAAGGCCTTATGCTCTCAGTTAGAATAAACTCCAGACCCCAGTACTACAAGTTTAGATGCCACGTATTTACTGAGTATCTGTTATGGTGTCAGGTCCTGCAGCTTCCTATTTGACTGCCACTCTGCCTTGAAGCTACCTGATAGGCGTCTTCCTTTTGTCACTTGTTGGTCAATATAACATCACTAATAGGGATGCCAGGTAACTTTTAGTGTCAGGTTGGTTGAATGTATTGACATCGATGCAGAAAGCCACAGCTGCCCTAAAAATCCAGACAGTAGAATAAATTTACTTGCCTTGAAAGCACAGTGCTTTCCTGTGCAAGGTGGGAAATATAAGTTGTATTCCTAGTTCTTTCATTTTGTTACCTGGATCCTGACACTTTCTTGGCCTTCATCTCCTCATCTGTAAGGGTAAAGTGGATTGGAAAATCTTTAATGGACTTTGTGCTTTTTGCCATTCTTAAACTGTAAGCATTCAGAACCTGTGTATAATTTTTTGAGGGGGTGGGGCAGTACTGAGCTTGAATTCGGGACTTGGGTACTGTCCCTGAGCTTTTTAGTTCAAGGTTGGTGCTCTACCACTTGAGTCACAGCTCCACTTCTGGCTTATGTTGGTTAATTGGAGATAAGTGTCTCACAGACTTCCCTATTCAGACTAGATTTGAACCTATATCATCAGGTCTCAGTCTCATGAGTGGCTAGGATTATAGGCATGAGCCACTAGTGCTTCACACTTGTGTGGACTTTGTATTTCATCAATTTTGTAAGCTGGTGCGTTACAGTTCAGAAGAATAGGAAAGAAGACCGTTGGCAGAGCAAACAATCAGATCCTGCCTTGGATCCTACCACTGTAACATAACTAATATTCAAAAAGCTCAAAAACAACCGTGCTTAAACAGTAAGGTAAAATGATTGCTCTATAGTAACATACTTTTCTTCACTCAGCAAGATTCTATTTTAATCTGTCACTTCCAATATTATAGCAGCATGTTTCAGCCCATTTAGGTTAAGTAACTACAGTGATTTTGAAAGTAATAACTATCTTATATAGTGACTGCAAATGCCCTAGGCAGAATCCAGCCAAGAGTCTGGCTCTGGCCTGGCTGGACCTTGGGTGAGCTTAAAGGTCCCACATTTTCCATGGAGGTAACATACTGCAGGTGGCTCCTGATGCATCGAGTCATTTTTGAACTCAAGGGGAAAAAATAACTTTGGTTCAGAGATTAATGGACCCACGAACACCTCCCTGTGTGACAGGGAAGGCCAATCACCAGAAGTGTGAGGCCAGTTCCCCACTGCTGCCTTTGTAAGGGGTGGTTTCCATGGCAACAAGGCAGCATATATATATATATATATGTGTGTGTGTGTGTGTGTGTGTGTGTGTGTGTGTGTGTGTGTATTCACAATTACAGATCACTGAGGCTATAGCATTGTGGTCATTCAAATTTGAAACAACACATTTCATGTATGAACTAGTGTTCTCCATAAACATGTAGTTGACAATTAGAGCATGTCCTCTTTGCTTCCTTTAGCTAACAATAATAGAACTGGGTTATTTCATTTGTTCATGAAACCTAAATCTCAGGCAGTATTTTTAAGTATGATCTTTCCTGATGCTCAGTGTGAGACTAATGGCTACACAGATAAACCTTGATTCTGATTCAGATAACAGTTATTGTGCAACTAATGTTTAATAGAGTAGTAGGAAATGATCAGTTTACATGTACTGGTTTATTTAACTCCTAAATACGTACATGTTGGGTCAAATTTTTGGTGTTTGGTACAAAGTCATCACTCCAATTATTAGTTGAATTAAAAAAAAAGAAATCTCAGAATCTCACAATCACAAAAGGTTTTAGAGAACATCCTGTGGAACTCCCTCAATATACAGATTGAGAAATCAAGTTTCCAACAGGGGAGTGACTTATCTAAAGACATCATTGATGGGAATCTGCTTTGTTCTCCTGACTCAATGTAGCTTGACCCACTGACTATGCTTCCGCCAGGAGATCTTCCTGAAACCCTCCAGCCCATTCTCTACCCCAATCTTAATCTAAATATGAAAGCCCACTCACTCCCCCATCGTCTCAGGTGTGGGCCAAAGTCTTACTCTAACAATAATTTCCCAGAGCCAGACCAGCACCATAAACTCCAGAACTTCTTTGAACTCTTGACCTGCTTGCAATCCTGTCTCCCCTCCCCTCCAGCTCCCTGTGATCCTGCCCTGACTCTTTACCCCATTTAAGTCTCTCCACCCCTGCCCCCATCAAACCTCATGTCACCTGACTCTCTTTATGTCACGTTGCTCTTTAACTTTCCATTAAAGTTGATCGGGTCTGTTGAGGTCGTTTTCTCCCCCTCTTTCTTTATTCTTTATTCTAATATCGTCATGTCTCAAGTTTCCTAACAATCATCACACCCAGTTATTCTAGTAGGTTCTAGATGATTGTTACCTTGGGTTGCAGCACAGGTCACCTCATACCAAATTGAGTGATAACAGATTGTAAAATCTCCCTTTTGTGTTGCACTAGTTTTTTTTTTCCTGGTGCTGGTCCTAGGACTTGAACTCAGGGCCTGAGCACTGTCTTTGAGCTTTTGTGCTTAAGGCTAGCACTCTACTCAATTTGACCCACAGCTCCACTTCCAGCTCCTTTGGTGCTTAATTGGAGATGAGTCTTACAGACTTTTACTGCCTGGGCTGAATTTGAACCACAATCCTCAGATCTCAGCCTCCTGAGTTGCTAGGCTTACAGAAGTGAGTCACCAGCACCTGGCTTTAGACACATATCTTTTGAGTGTTTTGTTGTATGTAGTGTTTGGGATGCCATTCTGTGAATTATTTAACATGAAATACTTGAAGAAATTTGAAAATATATTTATTGATACTTCTATTTGCAAGACTATCGAGGTATTCACTGGGATTATATTTTTGTAGTAATTATATTTTGAATCTACTTACTCTAGTACCATATAAATTTTAGCAATTCTCCCAGGTGGAGAGATTATAGAATGCCTGCATTTTAAGCTAATATGAGTTGGACATATGATTCATTGGGAAAAGAGCTGGTGCACTTTCCATCTGAATGAATCCAGGTTGGAAATGCATTTTTCATCCAGGTTGGAAATGCGTTTTTCATTAAGTGAGCTTTGTCTTTTCCTTAATCCAGTTGACATACCGGGATACCTTGGTGTAGATTCCATATTTGCCTTTCATTGCACACTCTTCACCCCAGCTAATAATTCCAGTTAAGAAACTGGTTCCTTCCACCTCACTAACGTGGGGTCCTCCACTATCTCCTTGACATGAATCTTTACCTCCATCATGGTAGCCAGCACAGAACATGTTTTTATCGATAGTAAATGTTGTGGACCGAAGGCATGTGGCTCGATCAACAAATGGGACTCTCAGGTACTGAAGAATGGAAGCTGGTCTCCCTCTGTTGAAGATCCTTCCCCAGCCACTCACGTAGCTAGATCCAAATTTGAGGAATGTGTTTGTGTATTCTCTGTTGGCAATGCAAATAGGTGTCACATAGCTGTTTAATGTTAAGGGTTTGTCCAGTTCTAGCAGGGCAATATCATGGCTGTATTTATTAATAGTTGCATTGTAGTTCTGGTGAGTAACGACCTGAATCACATTCCGCCTTTGCTCTGTATCTTCTTTCTTATCAATGTTATATTCACCTGTTGAAAATAAATGTCATCTTCAGTCACAGTCTTTCATATGAACAGGTTTTACACAAGTCTACTCAGCATTACTAAAAACTGACAGGCACAACTTACTGATCTGCATCTTAGATGATTTGTGGGGAAGTTAATGCATCAATAAATAGTTACATTCCATAAAGATGACTCACAAAAAGGACTCTAGGGCTCCCAGAATGGAATGATGGAGGTTTTGAAATTATGGCTTCTCTGTCTCTAGCCCCAGTTACTCAACCACAAACATATTGGACCTTAGTATGAAGTGTTCGTTTACCTGCAACAACCTCAATTTTATCCCCAGGTTCAATACAGTGGGCTGCAGTCACGACCCATTTCTCATTAATGATGGAACCTCCACAGAATGCTGCAATTTTACCATTCAAAAGAACCTGCAGAAATAAAAGTAAAAAATGTATTGCGTAATGGATTTAATCCCAAACAAAACAAATCCATGTGTTATTTATAGGAGGAGATCACAAGTTGGTTTCTAGGTGCTGGAAGAGTCCTGAAAAGATTTGTAACATAGATTGCTGGGAAGGAGGAAGAATTATGGGAGTTACCTCTGTGAACAAGCATAACACCTGGTGGCCAAGGTGCAGACTTAGCTTCACAATTTCCTTAGCTTTATACATCAATGAGTGTTTCTAGAGCACAAACTCAAATGGCCTTTCTGTAATTATCTACAAGAACTGAACACATAAGACAGGAGTGGGGCTGGTGAATTGAAGCTGAGACTAATCTGAGGAGTGATTTCTTTTGGGGATTTGCAGTCCTTGAGTTCCTTTCTGGGGTGTGACACAGAGACACACTCTAGTGGCACAACTTGCCTCTTGGGGACACGGTATTTTAGAAAATGTGCTGATGCCGCTCCTCAAGATGAAGAGTTATGATTGGGTCTTCTGTCTCTGCATGAGGAAATCTCTTTGACATAGTTCACTTGAAATGGAAAATGAATTACCCCCCTCCCCAGCCCCGCCTCTCATCCCCGAGTCTTGTAAAACCCTTCTAAAGTGTAATATCATGAAACAAGGTCTAAAACTTCCACAGAGCCGTGCTTCTAGCCATCCAGGCTGTGAGGAGCAGAATTCGCATACTCCCTCCACTCTTTCCTAGCCATATTCATTCCTCTTGGCTTGTAATATAAGTTGCCTATGCCATAGAAGGTCTACTTAGCTGTGCTTGATTTTTGGGCAATGTGGACAAAGGTGTTTGAGTACTGCATTGAGCATAGACCCTATTACTAAAAGACTAACTCATTCTTTTATTTATATATTCATTGCACAATCACAGGGGACAATGAGTACTCTTACCACCTTGTTGTCAAGGTAGATTTAGAAAATTTTATTTACAATATAAGCAAGGGCTTGAGCTACATTTTCAGAAAAAAAAAAAAAAAAGCTGAGAAGTGTGAACACTAGAGGGCGCACTGAGCATTCAGTAAATCCTTTGCAGGAACCCACTGGTTCTTTGTGAACTGAGGCTCTTGAGACACAAGTAGTCCTATGTATTTATAAACAAGGGAAAGAGGGAATTAAAACCTTCAAGGGTGGGGCAGAGATGGTTCTTAGGGCATGTTCTTTGGAAAGGTCTCCTGGTCCTGAAATCAAATTACTATTCACTAACTATGCCCTAGACTTAAGTAAAAGCTTTCCATTTGGAAAGTGGCTTGTGGGGCTACTAACCACAGACCTCTGACCTCCTTTCCTTCTTAATCGAGCAGGTTTTTTTTTTTTCAAGTTTTAAAGCCACACAAAAGTCTCACATAAACAAAAGTATAATACACACCAGTGTGTCTACCACCGAGATTTAACATTGTTCCTAATGTTTTGAACAGTCAGGTATTTATTTGGGGCCAAGTATTATGATGTCTTGGATACATAAGTGATGAGATAATAATGATACTATTTTTATGGAATAATAGTAGTTTACCTATTCACATCTGAGCAAGCCAAGGTTTGGACATGCCACATCATCCCCTAAGGTGATTTAGTGGTCAAGATACAGTACAATATCGTTTGTCTGACTTCAGTATTTATGCTGTTGAACATCCAGTATATGGATGGTCTATGGACCATGTCCAATAAACTAGCTGGGATCCTTGTAAAATGCAGCAGTGGTGAATGGGTAGACACCACCATGGGAAGAGTTAGCACAGGCCCCATGGATAGGGTTGAAGTGGTTGTTGAACAGGTATTGGGGAAGACAAGCAGGTCTCACTAAGCCATCAGGGATGGGGCAGGGAAGGTGAACAAGCTATCCTGGGAGACAGTGAAAGATAGGACTGCAGTAACCTTAGGTTCCAGGTCCCTTTCACGTAATCCTCAGACTTTGGTTACAGAATACAAATGCAAAACTTTGAACCCCTGATGTGGGATTCTTCTTAAGTACAGTGCCCTGTGCATGTGCAGTTGGTTCTATGACATTATGGCCGACTCTGATGATCTTAAGTGATTTTTTTTTTTTTGTCACCAAGCACATTTGAGCAACATGGTTCTAGGTTGGTCTTCATGTTTCCAGCTTTATGCATCTGTTCAAGCAAGTGGAATTTGCAGGCAATGATGTCATGTTATTGCTTCTTTAACCACTATTTTTTTGGAGGGGTGGTATTGCACATCTCTCAGCTTAGGAGGATACTTAGACAAGACAGCCCCTGGGCTTGGAGACTAGGATATCATTTGTCTAACTCCTGCCAAAGACTTGCTGCCCTCAGCTTCTACTGCTTTCCAGTAGATCACTGAGAAATATGTCTGTTGTTCTTTTAATCTGGAAGAACATTCTTGGTCACTCCCTGATTGGTGTTAGAAATTTTAGCAAACATCTTTGGCCAAGAGAAAAGGCCTAAGCTATATTTGCATTTAAAGAGAGTATAAATGGCATGATCTTACAATGTGTGCTTGGCCGTTTCAGGATCACAGCCATCTAAGTATTAGCTATTTGGAGGATGAGCTGTGTGTTTGGCCAAGGACAAGATCTTGTAAGACATTACTTCAGAGCCTGATGGGAAAGAGGGGACAGCATGTGCTCAGAGCATCTGAGTTCTGATCTGCCTAATATTTTCATGGTTGCCATAGCCTAATGGGAAACTGTTTTCCCTCTTTCTGATACAGACATTTACATATATCATACCACCTACATGCATCTACATTCACAGTCTCCATTCATGCTCTTGATTACAATCCCACCCCAGAGGAACAACTACTGTCCTGTTCTCTTTCCAACCTTCAACCCAGCCTAGTTTTCCCTTATTCCCCTTCCCTGCCTACCTTAGCTTCCCATTAACCCCCTTTACTGAGTTTTCTTTCTCCCGCACAACCATTTCTCCTGTCAAACCATTTGTCCATGAGTTCAGCTAGCTTCTTATGCCCAAAGATGTGCTTTAATGGGCTCAAGTGCTGTCCCTGTCCTCTTCTGCTCAAGGCTAGTGCTCAACCACTTTGAGGTACAGTGCCACTTCTGGTTTTCTGGTGCTTAATTGAAGGTAAGAGTCTCACGAACTTTCCTGCTCTGGCTGGCTTTGAACTGTGCACTTCAGAATTCAGCCTACTGATTAGCTAGGATTATTGGCGTGAGCCACCAGCATATGGCTCACCTTGGTTTTAATGGTTAACTATAACCATCAAAATAGAGTGGTCACTGAAATAAATATAGTTCATTAGACAATTTTCGAGGATAATCTCAATGTTCCATGAAAGCTAGCTTTGCAGATCTGGGTGAGATTACATATATCATGTTTTTTTTTAAATTTCTCCTAATTGAAATTTTATCATCAGAGCTATGAATAATAGAGGGTTGTCTTTTGTTTTCCAAGTGATGAAACTTCTGTACTATTAAGACCTTCATATAACATCTCTTCCACTAACAAAATGAAAGCTCTGATTCATGCATATGGTAAGTTTGCATGCTGTCTGACACCACTGCGTTCTCATCAAATGGAAAGGGTTGGATCTGCATAGCTAGCTACACAGCGCAAAGGCTCAGGTAACTTCAAGGCTCGCTTCAGGCCAAAGCTGAGGGAAGCCCAGACGGAGGGAAATGTTAAGCTATGTTGAATATGTAGGCCAAGGATATAATAAGGAATGGACAGATTGTTTTTCTAGATATGTTCTCTGGGTTAAAATGGCTAAGCATTGATAAATGCTCATGATATAACAGTAAGGACAGTGCAGTCATATTTCTTCTATTGTATTCTTTTTTTTTTTTTATCAATCTACTAGAATAATCTTCAGATTAGTAAATGTGGAATACATATGACTCATAGAGAACTGAAGACCATGGCAGAACAGAAAATAAAAAGATCAAGGCCGTCACAGATAGAGCTTGACAGATCTTAACCAAATGCAGAAAAGGTGAGAGCATTTCTTAGGGCCAGTTTGAGCATGCTCAGAATCGTCAAAGACCCAATTAAAGCTTTACACAGGTGAAACCCTATGCTGCTCCAGCAAACCTCTCCCTTTGTCAAGCCCTTGACGAAAGCAATCTCATCCTAGAGGCAAGACGATTTCCCCAGTGTTCAAAGGAAATTCAAGACTCCCATTCTTCGCTCTTCTAAATAGCTAAGAAAATCTCCTGTCGGTTCCTGTGTAGTGCACTTAGCTGTCTCTTCTCCTGAAGAGTCCCTTCTGTGCCCCTGTTTCCTTTTTCTGGGAGCACAAAGAGCTCTGAGCTCACCTCTAGACTTGGGGAAGGAAACTGAAGGGAATCTTTCTCCTGATTGGCTGGTGTCTTTGTCTTGCTCCAGAAACGGAGGGAGCTTCAGGGCAGCGACAGTTGCCAGCCCGCCCGCGAGCCTGCTTTGGCCTTTGCTTCCGGCCCAGCCAGTGGAGGCCAAAAGCCTTAAAATAAGGTAAGAAATGGGCAGGACCATGCAAGGTTTCCGAGCTGAATCAGCTTCCTGCTCTTTCTAGCCCTGCACAAATCTGTCCCCTCCGTGGCTCCCCCCCACCCCCCCCGGACAGAACAGCAATTTCAGTGAACAATTCCCCAAGTATTTGCTCCATCAACGATTCTTCCCAAAGCGACCCGTCCTAGTAACAGAGCCAGTGGTTAGAAAGAGGTTTCCTAATGAGGGCCTTGCTCCAAGTTTCACCTGTGAAGTTCACCAAGAAAAGAGTAATTTCCTTCTCCTCCTCCTCTCCATCCCCTTACAAGAGCCTCAACTCTTTTCAGACAGCTCACCCAAAGCTGTTCTTTAGCAGACTGAAATAAACATGCCCAATTCATTCAAACTTTTCTTTAGTCCAGGTGGAAGTGAACTCTTGTTTTGCTTTGTGGGATTTCTTCACCTGACTGATCCCTTAATTCCCCACTGCCACAAACTGGCAAGATAAACGAATCAATGCTAAAAGGGAATGGCTTTTAGGAAGCATGAACATTTCCAATGCTCTTTTCGAGGTGACATTTCTAGAGTAGTTCATGTTTCAGAGCCAGAGACAATAGGATGGCAAGTGAAAACCCAGCTTTTGCTTGCTTGCTCATTAGGCCTTGGCCACACAGTTGGTTGTGGTCTACAATCAAAACTATGATTCTGCGCTGTATGTGTGGCTTGACTGATAGAGCACTAGCCTAGCAAATGGAGGGCCCTGAATTCAAACCCTGGTACTGCCAAATTATTTTTTAAAGTCTAGTATTCCTAGCTAGGGTCTAGTGAAGCCAGCATTTCCATCAATGGGGAGAGGTTCAGTTTACTGTAATTTTCTATATTATGTTGGTCTAACATTGACTTTTGTATCCGCCATTTGTCTCCATGTTTTTGAAACTAGCAACCCTTCTTGACTAAGCAGATGGAGAGAAATGTGGGGAGACTTCTGAGTTGATAAAGTATGGCAGAGCCTTGCTCAAATTTATTACAGAGTTGCTTAGAACCTTGCCTTTGGAAACAAGGAGAACTTAAAGCTGTGTATTTCTGTGGTCACTAATCTCAGTTCATCTGGATGAAATAGGTTGTGAATAGATGTGTGAATGTGAGTCTTTCCAGTGCTCTTAGCTGTGCTTGATAGGGAAAAGATAATAGGCCCAATAACTGTACGAACACAATGAGAAATACATGAAAGCAGTTAAATGATGCATATTATTTATATCATCCTCACAGACCTGCAGTCACCATTGAATACTGTCTTTTTCTTAAAAAGAAAATCCAATGTCTACCAGAGATATTAAAATTTCTCTTAGGAAACATCTGAATTGTTAAAATATTGCCTACCACCTGCTTTAAAGGGAGTGGCTGGAGGTGAATATGATCCGATAGTATACATATGAAGATGCCATAATGAATCTCAGTATAACAAAAGTTAAAAGGTCCAGGCACAGGTGGCTCATGCTGTAATCCTAGCTACTCAGGAAGCTGAGATCTGAGGATCACGGTTTGAAGCCAACTCGGGCAGAAAAGTCTGTGAGACTCTTCCCTCCAATAAACTATTCAGATGAAACCAGAAGTGGTACTGAGGCTGAAGAGGTAAAGTGCTAGCCTGCAGCATAAGAGGCTCAAGGACAGTGCCCAGGCTCACAGTTCAAGCCCCAGGACTGGAAAAAATATTAAAAGAGGGAAGAGATAGAAAGGGTAATGAGAAGTAAAGAGTGATGGGGGGGATAATCTAAGTATATCAAATGCATAGAAATATCACAATGAAACCTCTTTAGACAACAGTATATGCTAATGTAAAAACCAAAAGGAATTGGTGGGAAAGAGATTATGTGTCCAAATTGAGACTACCTCCCCAATTTATTCTTATTAAACTGTCTTTATTGTTCAATGCTAAGCCCACAGTGCAATCATTTTATAATTAAAAATTCTTAGAATAAAAAGGGAAATAACATTCCTGGCTGATAATATGGCTCCTCCACCGTAAGCTCTGCTGTCTATTCCACTAGCTTGGGGGAGAATAATTGTCATCAAGTGGGGTCTTTTATTATGATCGCCCTATTTGTGGAAGTTGGACATATGAAAATACATGAGAATACAAGTAAAATGAGATGGAATTAGATCCACAGATGTTAGAGAAAATGACAGCATAGAGATATTGTTCAAAGAAAGAATGATGCAAAAAGGCCAATTAGGTAAAGAACAGTAAAGATGTGGATAGATGAAGGAAGGAACAGATGATGATGGTTAAGAAAAGTAGTCCTAGCCCGGTGCTGGTGGCTCACGCCTGTAATCCTAGCTACTCAGGAGGCTGAGATCTGAGGATCGCGGTTCAAAGCCAGCCCGGGCAGGAGAGACCGTGAGACTCCTATCTCCAATAAACCACCAGAAAACCGGAAGTGGCGCTGTAGCTCAAGTGGTAGAGCGCTTGCCTTGAGCTGAAGAGCTGAGGGACAGCGCCCAGGCCCAGAGTTCAAGCCCCACGACCGACCAAAAAAAAAAAAAAAAGAAAAGTAGTCCTGGCAGGGTGTACCTAAGTAGAAGTAGAGGGTATATAAAGGGACATTTAGTGTATTTTACTGGCATAAGATCAGATTAAATACATATTGTTTTCAAAATACAAAGATAAGAGGAAGGAAAATGCCTAGATCCTGTTTGCAATCTCTTCTCCCCTTAGTACTATTCTCGACAATATCTGTGTGGTTCTCCTCCATTCCTGGGTGTGTGTTCAATATCTCTCATCTATTACATGGGAAAATGGCTTGCATTGTGAAGAATCCTGGACAGACACATAGTTTGTCTCAGAAAATTCCTGTGGTTAAACTTGGAAACATTTAATTAATCTTGGCTCAATTATTACTACCCTGATGATCACAAAGGCTTTAAAGCTATCAATTTCTGGTGGCAGAAGTTCACATGTTAGTAGAGATTTTGGAGTTAAAGCAACCTTCAAATTACTATCAAATTATCACTGTGGCCACTACAGAGGCTTAAATTAACTATTTTATGTGCTGCTCAATACAAATGTCTGTGGTGATGGAACTGTACTATTTATACGTGCACTGTGTAATACACTAGCCACCAACCACATGTGGCTCTTACATACAAGATATGTGGCAGAGATGACTGAGGAAGTAAATTTTGATTTTGATTTCATCATACTTAAGTATGAATGGCACGTGTCTAGTGGTTACCTTATTGTACCATGTGCCCATGTAATTCTGCATATCTAGATAGGATGAATCCATTTTTTTGGTGCTTTAAATGCTGCTTTCTGTTGTAAGATTCTTTCTTTCTTTCCTTTGGGCCAGTGTTTTTCAAAATATACTGCTCATCAGAATCATCTGGAGGGCTTGGTTGAAAAACACTTTTAGACCCATCCCCTAGTCATTCTGATGCAGTATGCCTGCGGTGGAGTGTGATACTGCATTTCTACTGCTAGTGAACCAGGCTACTACATTTGCTCTTTATGGGCCCCTTCTTCCCATACGAGTGCTTTCCCTCTTTTTATTTTTTCCTTCCCTCCCTCCCTCCCTCATTCCTTCCTTCCCTCCTTCCTTTCTTCCTTTATTCCTTTCCTCCTTCCCTGCTTTCCTCCCTCCCTCCTTCCTTCCTTTCTTCCTTCCCTGCTTCCCTCTCTGCCTCCCTCCCTACCTCCTTTCCTCCCTCCTTACCTCTCTCCTTCCTTCCCTCTCTCCTCCCCTCCCTTCTCCCCTCCCTCCTTCCCTCCCTCTTCCCCTCCCTCCTCCCCTCCCTCCTCCCCTCTCTCCTTCTCCTTCCCTCCTCCTTCCCTTCCTCCCTCCCTTTCTCCCTCCCTCCCTTCCTTCCTCCCTCCCTTCCTTCCTTCCTTCCTTCCTTCCTTCTTTCCTTCCTTCCTTCCTCCCTTCCTTCCTTCCTTCCTCCCTCCCTCCCTTCCTCCCTCCCTTCCTTTCTTCCTTCCCTCCTTCTTTTCCTCCTTCTTTCCCTCCTTCTTTCCTTCCTTCTTCTTTCTTTCCTTCCCCCCTTTTTTTGTAATACTAATGGGGCTTGAAGTCAACACCTGAGTGCCATCCTTTAAGACTTGCTGACGGCTAACACACTACGCCTTGCATATTTCCCTTTGGGATTTTTTGGTGGTTTGTTGGAGATGATAGTCTCTTGGTCTTCCCTGCCCCAATTGGCTTTGCACCATGGTCCTCAGATTGTTGAGTGCACTCAACGGTGAGTCCTTTTCTTTATTCCCTTCAAGATAATCCAGATTTTCTGCACCAAGAGACTTTCTTTTCTTCTTATTTTAAAATAAGCACTAGGAAAGCTTATTAAGTAAAGAATACACTTTGAATAGACTGAAAGGGTGAGAACCACATTCCTAATGGCTGATGCTGAAGTGGTACCCTGAACCCCAGGACCTGAGACCCCATTTTCAGCCCTCTCTGGAGCGGATGCGGGGTTTGCAATCCCATCATGGAGGTTTACTTCACAGACACTCATTTGTGGGCTTTCTCATATTGTTTAGTGCTGAAATGTTCCCAAACATCTATCTTACCCCCTATAGGTCTTTCTAGGATCTTGGCCTCTCTTTCCTACCTGCTTTATCCTTTTGCCAATGGAGCCCCAGTTTTGACACACTGTTAGTATAGAGTACCTGCCAAGGGAATTGACCTGGTTTGGCATCTGCTCCACCGACAACCCGACTGAAGTCATTAAATGGTTGGGTGCTTTCAGTGTTGTTATCCAAAAATCTTTCAGCTTCAGTAGAATTTTCATAGTCCATATTGAAAATAATTGTGTCAGCACTAGTGTGCTTCTGAGAAGTGAATGGAACAGAAACTTCAGTGGTGTTATTCAAAAATCTTTCAGCTGCAGTAGAATTTTCATAGTCCATATTGAAAATAATTGTTTCAGCACGAGTGAGCTTCTGAGAAGTGAATGGAACAGAAACTCTTCCACATGGAAAGGGCACTACAAAAAATAGAAAAAATAGTATTTTCATATTTGTCATTGGCAAATGGAACATGTATTACAAATGAAAATGAAGCTTAATCCCTATCGCTTAGGAAAAAAATCTAATTAATGACTATATTATCCAATGAAAAGGTTAGTTACATTATCATTTTCAACATCTTCATGGGAAGAACCTTTGGCTCTGTAACTCATCATCTTTTTAGAAAGAGTTGGGAGTTCTAGAATTCATTGGTTAAGATGTTGGATGAGCTTTTTTTGGATGGTGTTTTTTTGTCACTAAAGTTTTTTCTTTGAAGTGCCATTCTTGAATGAAAATCTGGTGATTTGTAACTTTCACTACTATTTATTTATTTCTATTTGGTGGTGGTACTGAGTGTTATACTCAGGGCTGTTTGTCTTTCCTTGCTCAAAGTTGATGCTCTACCAATTGAGCCACAGCTCCACTTATGGCTTCTTTTTTGTGGTTAATTAGAGATAACAGTGTCACAGACTTCCCTTGTTCTTCCTTGCTCCAGGCTAGCATGGAGCCACAATCCTCAGATCTCAGCCTCCAGAGTTGCTAGGATTATAGGCATGAGCCACCACTGTCCAGCAACTTTTACCTTAGAATTAGGTAAATGACACTTCTGCTACTTGTCTTGAACAAGATTGCTTTGTAGATGACAACACCCTTAAGACTCCAAGTTGGAGTTTATTTTGTATTGAGGAAAGATTATTGTGATTCAATTACCTGGTTGTATTAAGTTACTAGGTTATTATTATGACTATCATGACTGTATTAATCTAGGACCTACCCACCTTTTTCATTGATTGATTTATTTCCCCCCCAAATCATCTACTTATACATCAAAGACTACCAGAATAAAAATGTATAGTCAAACAAAGTCACTTTGCTCTTCATTTTTGATTCTCACTGTACTCTACCAGCCATGTTCCTTAGAAAAGACATTTCTATAGCAACTACCTGCTTCCTGATACTTGGGTATCTTGAAGGCAGCATGCCATTGAGAAAGAAGGGAATTAGTTCAAAATATTCTTGTACAAATATACACAATCAACAATGGCTAGATGAAAGGGACGATTATTGTTGAAAAGGCCGAAAAGCTTCTTTAGATTTGGCCTGCTTATTCCACTAAAGCTAAGGCTATCCTAAACATAACTCATCTTAGTTGAAGATGGTTCACAAGTCTTTTTCCTCTTCTGACATAGAAAAGTCTGTATGGGTTTAGCTACTCTGCCACCTGTCCACACTGGAAGGTAGCTTTATTAAAGTTAAATACACACTGTGTGTTCTCACTCTTTTATATACATCTCTCCCAAGGTGGTTTAGTGTTAAAACAGAGTACATGAAAGAACCAGGCATAAAGAGGGAGCCTTCATTTCACTTGTAGCATATATTCCCCTGGATTCTGCTCTTTCCTTTAATATCCTTTTTGTGGTATATTGCTAACAGAGGAATGGTACATGCTTTAATGCACCCATTTAATAACAGCTTTTGGAAATACAAAATAATTTTGTCTAGTTTACTTCCAAAATGTCTCTTGTTATCAAAAACAATTGATCCTGCTGAGCTTATTTGTGTGTGTGTGTGTGTGTGTGTGTGTGTGTGTGCTGGTCCTAGGGCTTGAACTCAGGGTCTGGGCACTGTCCTGGAACTTTTCGCTCTAGGCTAGCACTCTACTACTTGAGCCACAGCTCTACTTTTAGCTTTTTGCTGGTTAATTGGAGATCAGACTCTCACAGACCTTCCTTTGAAGTCTGGCTTTGAATTCTGATCCTCAGATTTCAGCTTCCTGAGTAAGTAGGATTACAGGCGTGAGACACCAGTGAGCTTAGAATAAGTTTCACTGCTTTTTCTTTAGAGGAGGGTGACCTGTGGAGATGTTGTGAATACACCAGCCTGCTGTCAAAGTTCATATGGCTTGAAAACATGGGTTTTCTCCCTGTGGTATAGATTGTGCTATTCAGCCTAGCAGAACGTAACCAGTTTGCTGTTAGAACCATTCTGACACCAAGAATGGAAACTGGACTTATGACCAGTGAGGAGTCTCTTTAAATTAACCAGGCCTGTCTGGACTCATGCTTACAATTCACTTCCTTTTACATGAAACATTATTTAGTCAATATTTTGTGTATCTTATAGTATTATGAGATACTACAAGAGATATTACTTTACTGTGTGATTTAATCAATTATATATATGTATATATGCTGCTACAGAATCTTTAACTCAGAACCTGAGCATTGTCTCTTAGCTTTATTACCACCAGAATCACAGGTCCACTTTGGCTGACTTTGATCCATGATCTTCAGATCTCAACCTACCAAGTAGCTAGGATAATCCTATAATAGGCTACTATAATAGGCGTGAGCCACCAGCACTCAGCTGAATTATAAATATAATAGATAGCTAGTTATAGGATTTATATCTGAGATGACGCAATTTGGAAGCTACCAATCTTTTGTTTGACTTGACAAGGAAATAGGTTACAAGTTACGGAATAAAATTAGATCGGTGAAATGTTAAAAGTTCTAAATGTAAGTTTTCTTCTAAAACTTTAGATTTTGACCTGCTGGTTCACAGGACTTCTGGTTTTCTGCAAGCTTGTATCCCTCAGTACAGGAACAAATCACCTGGTTCCCAGTGCCATTTTTACAAAACTGCTTGCACCTGCCATTCTTAATGTTACATGTTGCATCTGAAATAAAGCAAAATCAATAGCAATAGCATTATTTCACATATCCTTCGAAAGCGTACACGGAGCTGTTGACTCATGAGTGGCTCAAGTATAAGCTGGGAGCATTCATGGCAAGAAACTTTGGAGCCTTGAGGTAAGATGGAAAGAAAGGTAATTTCCATTAAGACATACTAATAAGCAATACTTTGATTTGATATAGAACAAAATGATAAAATAGTCTACTTTCACTAAATCACGGGCTGCAATGAAACTTCTGTTTGTTGAAGTGTGACACAAATATGGAAAAGGATCCACTGCTTTTGAATACTTGTTTAAACACTGCTGGGACAGTATCAAACCCCCAAAACTCTCATCATCTTCCCTTGCAATTGCTCTATCCTATGTCTTTTCAAAGATTACCAGTATACAGACTTTTAACACAATGAACAATTGTGCTAGTTTGTGAACTTGATACAAAGAGAAACTAATAATATATACTTTTTTGTGTCTTTCATTGGGCATTTTAGGAGTTTCAGATACATGATTTGGCAGAATACTAGTCCATTTTTCTTGCGGTGTAGTACTTCATTGTATTTATCTTGCAACTTTTATTCACCAATTCTGCTGTATTGTTTCCAGTTTTTGCTCCTATGCATAATATTGTAATGGATATGGTTATACATACCTTTAGGTAATACAAGCATACATTTTTACTAGATTTATACTAAGGAGATGAATGCTTGATTTATATATTCAGCTACTTTCTGAAGTGACAATACACATTTAAGTCACCACCAGCAGTGTCTGAACATTCTAGTTAGTGGATATCTCTGCATTGCAGATACCTTCTACCAGACTTGCTTTTTCTCTCTGTCTTGCTGAACAGAAATTCATAGTTTTTAATATGATCCAATTTATCAATATAGTTGTTTGTGGTGGGTGCTTTTTGTTTTGTTTTGTTTTTTAAATTTATTTTTTATTGTGAAAATACTGTACAGAGGAGTTACAATTACATGGGCAAGATAATGAGTACATTTCTTATCAAGCATTGTAGCCTCCTCCTTTGTTTCCCCTTCCCATCCTCTCCCATCCTCCCCCCCACACCCAACCCTCCCCGTACCCTCCCCCTCCCCCCGCACCAAAGTTGTAAAGTTCATTTTCAGCATAACGACTTGTACTTCTCATTGTTGCAATGGGTCCACCTGTATCCTTATTTAAACGACTAGTTTTTCCCCTTCCCTTCCACAAATTATACCGACATCAAATACAGTGAAATCAGGGGTTATACTGTGGGGGAGGGACATACAAAGCAACAAAGAAATAATCTTATAAATCTGTTAGAAACAAATGCATGAAAGAAAAAACCATTTAAATACATATCTTAGGGTTCATTTTCCTAACATCACCTTATCTGACCTTTTCTGCTTGACTCATACATATACTAGATATTGCAAATAAGGGAAACCATGGGACCTATGTTTCTTTGGGCTTGGCTTACTTTCACTTCATATAATTTTTTCCAAGTCTTTCCATTTCCTAACAAATGGGGCAATGTCATTCTTTCTGATGGAGGCATAGAATTACATTGTGTATACATAGGTGGTTGCTTTTTGTATCTAAGAGATTTTTGCTTACCCCAAGGTCAGCATAATATATACAACAAATATAAAATATTATATTTAGGTCCTTAGCGCACTTGGATTCGATTATGAAACATGGTAAGAGGAAGGATACACATGTACTTTCCCCATGTGAATTTATAATTTGCCCATCACGGCTTACTGAAAACAGCCATTCTCCACTCCATTGCAGAGGTACCTCTGCCATAAACCAAGTCTCTATGCATGTGTACATATATTCTGGGGATTTCTAATTCTGTTACTTGGATCTATTTATCTACTTTGAGTCAATACCACACTATCTTAATGTATCTCTGTAAATATACATACTCCAATATACATACTCCAAATTTGTTCATCCTCTAATTTATCTGAGCTCTCTTTGGACTTTTGCGTTTTCATATATCTACATGCTAGAATTACCTTCTCAATCCTGTTCTTCCATGGCTTTGATTAGTACTGCATTGAATGACTTTAGGAGATAAATGATACATGTTATATATTGTATTCATTAATCCATGTTTCATTTTTTTGTGTAGAGCTCTTGTATTCCTTTTCTTCGCTTCCTCTTATTTCTCCTCCTCCTTTTTCTCTTTATACTTCTATTACTGTTCTTTCTCTTTCCCCCTTTGTCTAGTACTGAAGCTTAAACTCAGGGCCTCATATTTGCTAATCTGGTGCTCTACTATTGAGTTATGCTTCCAACCGGGATTTTTGTTGGTTATTTTGGAGATGGAGTCTCATAGACTTTTCTGCCAAGGCTGGCCTCAAACCATGATCCTCCAGATCTCAGACACTTGAGCCACTGTTGCCCAGCTCTTGTATAGCCTTCTTTTATTTATTCCTAAGCACTTAATTTAATTGTCTAATTGTCACTAGTATAGGCACATAATGGTTATTTGAATCTGGAGTCTATATCTAGCAGCCTTTCTTGGTGCATTTATTCTAATTATTTATGTGCTTTGCATTGTCTAAATGTATAATCATTTGAAAGTTATAGTTTTTACTTATTTCTTCCAATGGCTAAAGATAAAAGCAATTCCATATTTTCAGGTTGTCACTAGCTCTCCTAACTGAAGTATATCCTCTGTTGCTTTATTATTCAAGGAGATGCTTGACTTCCTGAGCTAGATAGGTTAATAACTACCTCCAAAAGTAAAATATGGAGAACCCTAGAAATTGCAGTCCTGGAGAGTCCATATAAGACTAAAAGAAGCTTGCTGGCTGAGGTGGGTATATATCAAACATAAGCATCATATAGCATCCTTTAAGGAAGCTAAGTGGTGGAAACATTACATATTAACAGTGCTAAACATTCTAGTGACCTATGCTTCCTTATCTTATGCAATGTCTCTGATATGAATACAATATATTTTTTTCAGGTAAAACTGCTTCCTTTGAATTCTATTTTGTCTGATATTAAGATTGCTTTGCAGTTTCTGTTAACATTTACAACTCTTGCGTTTAACCTCTCAGTGTAATTATTTTTTGAGTATTTCTTTTGTCCACAGTATGCAATTAGATTTTAATTCCAAATGGAAAGTTATCATTAATAGATTAGTTTAATCCCAATTCATGTTACTTGGAATTCTTGACAGAATTGGCTTATTCCTGCCATCTACTTTGTATTTTCTATTTCCTGTGCCTTTCCTTTGTTTCTCTTATGCAGTCTGAATAATAGGAAGTAGCATGGTGTAGGGCTTGTTAGCTGAGTCTTTCTGAGTCAAGAGAAACAGGTTCTGCCTTGGACATATTTCTGTGTCTAGAGCAGTACAGGAAGAGAATGAATATAAGGCACCTCCTCCTTCCCTATGTGTTCAACCACAGTCCAGCTTTTAAATAGAAATGCTCAAAGGTCTCTGCAGTTATAAGAAGTTTGAAAATGAGTCATTGGAGTTGACGCCTCCTATGCACCACTTTTGTTCTTTTCAGCCTCTCCTGTGGCTTTTTCTAATACTGTGATGATCAGCTCTACATAAATGTCAATGAACTTCATACAGGTGTTGATTTGAATTGCCTTGGCTCACATTCTGTTCTATGTACAATTTACCTCTTGCCTTGGAGTTTCCCTGTTGATGCTGAGGCATGGGATGCCATGTAACTATCTGGGTGTCCAAGCATAGCCCAACTGGGACATCTAGGGAAGTTAATGCCCCGTAGGTTGAACTTTTGACCAATTGGAGACAGATGCTGAGGGACAAATTCTTTTTTTTTTTTTTTTTGGTCGATCATGGGGCTTGAACTCTGGGGTTGGGCACTGTCTCTGCGCTCTTCAGCTCAAGGTGAGCATTCTACCACTTGAGCCACAGCACCACTTCCAGTTTTCTGGTGGTTTACTGGAGATAAGAGTCTCACAGACTTTCCTGCACCGGCTGACTTTGGACTGTGATCCTCAGATCTCAGCCTCCTGAGTAGCTAGGATTACAGGCTTGAGCCACCAGTGCCCGGGACAAATTCTTTCACCTCTCCTTTCCTGTCAGGTGGAGTATGCTGAGATATATTCATCTGGCTTTTTGGAGACATCCCAGGAGATGAAGCAATCAGTGGCAGTTATAGGTAAGTATTTTGACAATTCATTATCTTATGTTTTTTTTTCCTTACTGCCTCAGTCTTCCTGCCTCACTGTCTCCACTGCCCTAGGATTGCGTGGCCTAAAAAATAAGATTTTTCTTAGTTATGGAACAAGTATGCTAATAGAATAGCTACACTCTTGGAGAATATTTTATATCTATAACATGTATATTTAACTATACACAGATATACAAATATTAGTACATAAACATACAAATATATACCACATATATTGTATTATATTATAGACATATGCAAATATATATATTATCAACATATTTATATTAGTATATCTATATCTCTATGTCTATCTATCTGTCTATTTATCTATCATCTATATTTCTACCTCCACCTTCCAACTGCTGAAGTTACAAGGATAGTCCTCCATGCCTAGTATAAATTTTTTTGGGGCTAGACCTAGGGCTTGAACTCAGAGCCTGAGCACTGTCCTTGTGCTTTTGTGCTCAAGACTAATGCTCTACCACATCTGTACTTCTGGCTTTTTGGTAGTTAATTGGAGACAAGACTTTCAGAGACTTTCCTGGCTGAGCTAGTTTTTAACAGCAATCTTCAAATCTCAGCCTCCTGATTAGTTAGGATTTCAGGCATGAGCCACTGGCTACCTGCTGGGTCTGGTATACATTTTTTTGTGTGATGAATCTAAATTGTAAAACTTGGTGTTATATATGCTTCCATAGAGTAATGTCATAATTAATTCATAGTCACCTGTTACTGGGTGAACAAAAGAACCAGTCTGAGCTTTAGTTCTTCCTACTACTAATCCACTAGTAATCCGTTAATTGCAGGTTCCAACAAGATGGCACTGGTCCTTTTAGTTTACATATTGTTAGGACTTTTCTCATAATGAATGATGATAACATCCCTGGCTCTTTTCATATAGCTAGTTATCATACTGTTGCTACAGAATAAGTCTAAAGTGTTCAGCCAAGTCAAATACCATGTGTAGAAAGTGTTCAGTCAGTGTGAGATTATGATATGTTAACAGAAGTGAGTAGTCAGAATAGCCTGCTTTTGCCCAGGGAGAGTATGATGGGAATGAGTAAACTTTGTGTGATTGTCTTAATAATGACTTGGTATCTTTGGCTATGTAACCAGGCCTCAATCTTTTTCTTTCATTTGTCACTGTTCTATATATGCTCAGCATAGATGTTGCTGCTCTTGGTGTCCATCTTGGTTTGTGCATATAGAAGGAAATATTGCTGCCTAATCAGCAGATTATTTTAACTCCGAGGTAAAAGACTCATGATTCTGGAAATGTCTAATAGAACAAGGAACTCCAGAGGAGAAGTCAGTAGAGTAGGACTTAAGACACAGTCAGAATGGAACTCATCAATTCCTGAGCAATTAGATGTTACCCAATATGCTAAGCATGGCTTTTCCTTGTTCTGAGGTTGGTCTCAATGCCTAGACTATGTGATGAACAATATCTTAAGGTATCTTTTTAGCATAGACACGATTTCTACTTCCCTTTATGCTGACTTATTAAAGGTATCATATTTTGTTATCTTTTATTTTGCATACACCTTTCCTGATTTGCCAACCACAGGTTAAGCAAAAGTTGTTCTATTTAACAAGCTCACTATAATATGTGTTGTTATTCAGCTAAACTCAATATTTTTCCTGCCCCCAAATCACACAGTAAATAAAACAGTGGTGTCTGAGATGTACTGCCAAACATGAAAAAGAAAGAGAGAGGGAACATTTCTGTCCTTATGTTCACTTTCTTCCACCTTGCCCACAATGAGGGCACATGCTTCCTATTATACTTCATAAGAGGTAAGGATGACCAAATTCTTCCATACTTTGCTCTATTAGAAAGCAATTTGGATTTGATGTATAGCTGGGCACGTACAAAGGTATTTATTCTAGCCAAAGCTACCTACTAGTCAGATCATCATTCTTCTAACTAGAAAGCATGCCTTGGATATTTGTATGTGTTGGCTTTAGAAAAAGTGTCATGAACATGGGAAAAAGAAAATGTATTTTCATGACACGGTCAAGCAACAGACTTGGGGCTCAGATACTCTAGTGGCTTCTGAGATTAGTCCTTACTTCAACTTGAAGCAATAAGCTTAAGTGGGAATTCATATATGCTTCATCGTTGCTGTCCTCTGGCATCTGAGATAAAGAGCATTCTGAGACAATTTCCATTTTGTTTCTGAGCTAACAGAGCCAAAATGGGAAAGATCAATGTGCTTTCGAGGTCCACTGTGGTTGTCACTTCAGTATAGCCTGAGTCCTGACCAAACAGAAATGCGGGAACCCAGAAGTATACAGAAGGTGCCAGTTGTAGACTTAGCATGTTTTCTCTGTGTACAAGGACCTCATACATTCACTACCCTGTTAGAGAACTGTTGTGTGTTTACTTACATTCCTTGAAGCTATTCTCTTGCTCCTTTTAAAGCATTTGAATTGTTAACTAGATAAAGATAGCTTATTACATTGTATCCTGCAGCTGTAACTAAGACTAATTGAATTATTCATTCCCTCAGCCTTAATGGTTACATTATTTACACCAATAATGAGTAAGTAACCCAAGAATTTCTATATGCTTCTATAATAGCAAGATGCAATTCACATAGGGAAATCTGCATTTGAAATTATAATCTTCCAGATGAAAATAGCACTATAGAGATGTTGAACCAAATAACACACCCACAGGAAAGGTAACCCAAGGTATTGGTTTGTTCCCACACTGACAAACCTAAAGAAATGTAAGTCCAACCCAGATAGACTAATTCATCCACCTGCATTCCCTCTTTTCTTCTTTTTAAATGCTTTTGCTCTGTCAACTTTTTCTTTTCTTCTGACATCTTTTATATTTCAAAGGAAGATGATCAATGAATTCCTTCTAAGAATTGGAAAGATTTTTGAACATTACAGTTGACTTTTTTTCCCCCATTTTCAACAGGACAACTGCAGCTGCTACATTTCATTTAATTTCCTTTCCTTTCATGTCCTTTTCATCTGTCAAATGGAAGGTTATAATGCCTTACCAATGGTCTTGCTAATTTTCTACACTTTATCCTTACTCATCTCGCCCATGGTGTTAAATTCTTTCTCTAAAATTGTATCTCTATTTTCCTATGGTTTCAGTCCCATCTTAGCACTGTGGGCTTTGCATAGTTACAATATTAATAGTATTGCATTCGGTTGTAATGATCAGTAGATAAAGAACTCTGAGGTTTACTGTTCCAGAAACCTTAAAATTATTTATAGACTATGAGAAGAGAAGATGGACAGTAGACTTAGATGTGTTATGTTGCCTTTTAAAAATGTAATCAATATGGTCAAACTCAGGAATAACCCCTGAATTTTCTTAACAAATTTCCTTGTGTAGACCAGTTCATATTCTATTAAAATAATTGATCTGTCGTGTCCCAGTTCTATGTTACCTACATCTACTTCCTAGGTTGTTAGCAATTTAGTCACAAGTTCAGTTTTCTGAGTTCAGTTTTCTTGAAGGTTTGAGTACAGTCATTAGAAACTTGTGTTTTGGTCAAACTAAAATTCAAGTATTGGCTCAGTCATTCAAATGACTTATTTTGACATATTGGGACTATAATTTTGCCATCTTTACAGAATAGTACTGACCCCATATGGCTATATTAAGGCTTAGTAAATAAAGTGAATGGAAACATATTGCCACTGTATACTAGCTACCAAATGTTAATGCTCTAAACATAGTTTCTTGAATATATACCCTGAGAATGTAAATACAGATGAAGTGAATGTTTATAAGGTTTGAAAATATGTTTCTAAGAGAAACATGATACATAAATATGGCATTTTCCAGTTTCATCCGATTTCAAAAAGAAACTTTGAATAACAGAATATTTACTTACCTAATTCACAATTCTTTCCTTCAAATCCAAGTTTACACCAACATTCATAGGAATTGATATCATCCTTGCAACTGCCGCCATTTAAACATGGATTAGACTCACATTGATCTCCATCTTTGAGTTGGGTTAAGAAATTGAATTATTACATACATTGCTTAGAATACCCATGGTTCCCCTGGACAGACTTCTGATGATAGGAGTTTGATTTAAAGGTCAGAGTAGAACTACCGAAAGCCAGATACCAAAGACCTATAGACAAGTGATGTTCCTGCCTCTCAGAGTTTTCTAATAGCCACCCAGGTAAAGTTTTCAGAGTTACACTGTCCCAGAAATTGTCCTGAGGAAGGTATGCACACAATTTATGTTATCATGGAAAGAGAGAGAAGATTGGTGCGTGGAAATATACTGTATCAGCCTAAGATTATAATGATACAAGAATTAATTCAAAATAAAATGAAATCAGATCACTTCAACAAATACTAGTTATGTGTCCTGCAAGGCCTGCTTTACTGAAGGTGTTGTGAAACAAGCTGAGCTAGAAGACAAATGGTGCTTCCATTCAACTAAAGGCATAGAACTAATGCATCTATTTTTTTTGTATTGTGTTCTAATGTTTTAAGTATCATTGGAAGGAAAGACTCAAGACAAATAGGCAAGATGCCAGATGCATCTTTTGTGGCTTAAAGGTAATTTACTGTTTATAAATTAGGTTCCAAATGGTCTAGACAAAAATGAGAAATCAGCTTGTGGTAAAGATTAGATCTAGTTCTCTCTGCCCCTTGATCCCAATATATGCTTTTCCACAGATATTTCAATTTGCTCCAATTCCATGAAAGGAAATATATAATGTATTTAATGTGCTCTATAGATTATCTTTTTCCATTCTCTGTTTTCTGAAGTTTCTCTATTTGCAGAGTTATTGGCAGCATTTGGAGACAATGGTAAGAAAACAGGAGGAAGGTGTAGGGAGAAGGGAAGGGTAAGGATGGAAAGGGAATCCTTGTTTGACTTGTTAGTGCTCTGCCTCAATTCACCCTTCTAAGAAAGCTTAGGAGAAAGGATGTATACAACCAGAAAGGAAATGTGTTATGTACTTCAGACTAAGAAAAATGGCTCCAAAGGAAAACGATTGAGCTACATTAGCAAGACCCAATATATAGGAACGAAAAGAGCAAGCAATAATGATGATCATAAGGATGAAAGAAAGAAAAAAGAAGGAAGTTTACACTCCCACCAACAATGCAGTAGTGTTCCCTTCTGTCCACATCCCCTCCAGCATCTGTTGTTATTAGAGTTCTTGATTATAGCCATTCTAACTGGGGTGAGGTGGTATCTCAGTGTTGTTTTGATTTGCATTTATTTTATGGCTAGGGAGGTTGAGCATTTCTTCATGTGTCTATTGGCCATCCTTCTTTCCTCTTCTAACACATTTATAAGATGATTTCTTTGTTGCTTTGTATGTCCCTCCCCCACGGTATAACCCCTGCTTTCACTGTATTTGATGTCAGTATAATTTGTGGAAGGGAAGGGAAAAAACAAATCGTTTAAATAGGGATACAGGTGAGCCCATTGCAACAATGAGATGTACAAGTCGTTATGTCGAAAACGAATTTTACAACTTTGTGGGGGGGGGGGATTGGGTGGGGGGGCAGAGGAGGATGGGAAGGGATGGGAAGGGGAAACAAAGGAGGAGGCTACAATGCTTGATAAGAAATGTACTCATTACCTTGCCCATGTAATTGTAACCCCTCTGTACAGTATTTTCACAATAAAAATTAAAAAAAAGAAAAAAATGAAAAAAAGAAAGAAAGGGGAAAATCAAATGAGCATTTCCAATTATTACTTATACTTTGTGGCATAGCTTCCTAACACCTAGTTTGTAGATGTCTGCTCATTCTCCCTAGTCTCAGACAAAAGCTAGTGTCCAAGTTTCATTGACTAAAGAGCTAATATCTCCTTCTTAGAAATAGCCTGTGGAAAATCAGCTTGCTGTAAAATTAGACCTTTGTTCCCTCTGCCCCTTGATCCAATGTGCTTTTGTGCAGATACTTCAATTTGTTCCAATCCTATGAAAACAAAATACGTTATCTCTGGTTTATTATTATTGATGTTCAGAACTGGTCTAAAAAATGAGCTACATTTGCACTTTATATTATGGACTAACAAATCTGAATTATTTAGGATGTTTCACTGAAAGGGTCTGGGCTTGCAGCCAGCGGCACAGGAACTCATTTGCTGAGACATATCTTCAAAATGAGTGTCATTTTATCCTATAATCCTTGGGTTGTGTCTGTGTGTACTGTGTGCTGAGACAAAGCTCTAGCCAGTAGGGGTCAAAGACAACAGGAGACAAGACATTGCTTGCCAAGTGACAGATTTCTGTTTAAAGCCACTAGTTTCTGTTTAATGAGTAACCATGTTTGGATTTGAAAACCATGAGATGTCATAGTGAAAGCAATGGGTTAAGTTCTCTCCTGGGCATCATGAATCCCTGGGTGAGTGTCCTTTTAGCAATCCCTTAACCTTGTGAAGCTTCCATTTCCTTCTCTGCAAAGCTGCAAAATGACATTCATAATACTTTATTCACAAGGATTACATGAGAGTTCAATGTGATAGGCACTGCATATACTGCCTATATGGACCTCATTGTATAAGGTACCTGGCAAAGGCTAGTTAATGAGACCCGGTGATGGTGCTTCTTCAAGTAGATGAGCTCATGGTAGGGAATAGGACAGCAGTGAGCAGCCTGCATCCCTCCTTTATGGGAAATGTAGTTAGCATAGGCCACTTCTGTGGCCATTAGGAATTTCAACTGCAAGTAAAAAGAGGCATGGACTTGGTTCCTTTTTGGGGGTTTATTTTCTTGTAGATAGTGACAGAAACAGTACTTTGAGTAATGAAAAGAAGATTTTGGAAGGTTAAACACACAATAAGTACTGGTTTTGAAAAAGTAGCTATCATTGCTTAAAAAAAATAAGCCATAAGCCAGGTGTTGGTGGCTTATGCCTGTATCATAGCTACTCAGAAGGCTGAGCTCTGAGGATAGTGGTTCAAGGCCAGACAGGGCAGTAAAGCCCATGAGATTCTTATCTCTAATAAACTACTGAGAAAAAGCTAGACGTGACACTGTGGCTCAAGTGGTAGAGTGTTAGCCTTGAGCAAAAAGAGGCTGAGGGACAGATGTTAGGCCCAAAGTTCAAGCCCCAGGACTAGCACACACAAAAATAAGCCACAAAATTAAAAGTTATGGTCGTTTGTTTTTTGAGGCAGTTTTGCCCAGGATATCCTGGGTTACAGAGCAACTCAATAGGAACTTAGTCATTCACTACTGGCCTTGAATGCATAAGACTCCTTCCTTGCTTCTTGAGAGCTGGGATTACATGCACAGCACAGACTAATTCAGTAGGAAGAGAGAACCAAGAGGCTTGTTGGAATGAACTCAGTGGAAGTGGTATGCTAACACTCATCCTGAAGAACAAGGGAAGGTAGATGAAACAATATAGCAGAGTGTACTTCTTCTCTCATGAATTAAAACAGAAATGGGAAATTGCAAGGCTGTGGAAGGATGAAAATGTTCAGTGGTGTCTCCAGAGCAGAACTGTGAAAAACAGAATTGGATATCAAGCTGATGGAACTTAGTGAAGGTAGTGTCCAGGCTAATTTATCTCTTTTTATGCAGATGGCCTGAAGGAAGCTAATTTATGAAACTTCCCTCCTCTCAAAATCCTACTGCTGAATTTTAAGCTAATTTTCAAGTTAGTGGTAGACAAGACAAAAATGGAAATATAGAAAATTTGAAAATTAAATAACTAAAATTAGTTGTCTTTAAAGGATGACTTCTCCTTCTGTATGACTTCTGGTGAATCCACTGGACAAATATTTACTATGTGCCTCTGTTTCAGATATTTTTCTAGGTGCTAGAAATCCAACAATAAACAAAAAAATTGATTCTGTACCAAATTGAAGGTTGCTACCTAGGAGGGTGGAAAAAAATCAATGAAAATAGTATAGTTAAGAAAATGCTAGGAGGTGAACATGATTGAAGTGTATTATATATGACTATGAAAATAGTAAAGTGAAACTCACTAAAAACCATTAAAAAGAGGAAACAGATGTTAAGAAAAAGAGTGAATTTGATCAATGTACATTATATGCATGCATGTAAGTATCACTGTGAAACTTCTTTGGACAATTACTTTATGCAAATGAAAAAATTTAAAAGCATGATTCAATAAAAGCAAAATGCTATGCTACATTAGATGGCAAAAGATGGTTGACTATCCTCAACATGAAAATCTGTAGTCCAAATTGCTCCAAAATGTAAAACATTTTGAATACCAATGTGGTATCACAAGTGGAAAATTCCATGTCACAAAATGTTTGACTCACAAAATGATTTAGGGTATTGTATGAAATATTATCATATATATGAAGCTTAAAAGAATTTTATGTTTGAGTCTTATCCTCAAGATATCCAATGATATATATATTTGCAAATAGTCTAATAACTAAAATAGAAATATATAAACTATTCAGATACCAAACATTTGATAATTCTATAGTGTTACTCAACCTGTAGTGCAAAAACTAGAGCAGGATACAGGTGTCTAAGTTGGGGGGCCTCGCTGACATACTAATCTTTGGGCAAAGACCAAAGAGTTGAGATGAGGGAGAGGTGAAGGACTGAGCCTAAAGGAAACTCACAAAAGCCTGCTAAAAGGAATAGTCAGCTAAAGCCTTTGACATGACAGCATTGCTGGAGTGTGCAAGGAATCCACTGTGTAAGCAGAGACCAGGAAAGAAGGTCAGGAAGGCAATGGAAAGGGAGGGAAAGGGGCAGTCATGGAGGTTCCTGTAGGCCAACAAAGCAAGGAGGAATTCAAGCAATAAACATTTGTCATCTTTAGTTTGACTGGGGATGGTAAACTCTCATTCACTTCTAAAATGCTATCATTTTGGCCTCTACCTTCCAGCTTCCTGAGGTGGAATGATATTCTTTGTGGAGCCCCAGGGAAGTGTGTACTTACCCTCTAACTTTTACCTGCCACACTGGCATAAAGCTGGAGTGCATTACCATTTGATCTTGGGGTAAAGAGTTGAATGGATTTTTCTGAGCCCTCTTAGCAGAGGAAAAGTATACAAGTATACAACTATATCCACTGTGTCATTCACCAGTAAGAGGATAAAATGCATTGCTTACCAACATACTGCTTCCAAAACTCAGTCTACAAAGAGAAAGAAAAGAAGTTAATGATAGCATTTAAGTGAGTCTTACTCTTTTATAGCAATTATAAGTGTGAACTATTTTAAATTTCCAAAGGGAAATGTTTTTTTTTTCTTTTGTGGTGCCATGGGCTTGAATTCAGGGCCTGGACACTGTCCCTTAGCTTTTTCACTCAAGGTACTCAATGCTTACGGTCTATCACTTGAGCCACAGCTCCATTTTCACCTTTCAGGTGGTTAGTTAAAGGTGACAGTCTCTCAGATTTGTCTGCCAGGGCTTTGAACTGTGATCCTCAGATCTTAGCCTCCTGAATAGGATTACAGGTATGAGTCACTGGCACCTGACTAGAACAATCTTTCTTTCATCTTTTCTTTTCTTTTCCTTCCTTCCTTCCTTTCTTCCTTTCTTCCTTCCTTCCTTCCTTCCTTCCTTCCTTCCTTCCTTCCTTCCTTCCTTCCTTCCTTCCTTCCTTCCTTCCTTCCTTCCCTCCCTCCCTCCCTCCCTCCCTCCCTCCCTCCCTCCTTTCTTTCTTTCTTCCTTTTTTCTTTCTTTCTTTCTTTCTCTCTCTCTCTCTTTCTTTCTTTCTTTCTAAATTAAAGTGTTTGGTCCATTGCTATGTGGATATACTCACAGTTCTTTCAGTGTTTTCAAAAACTTCTCGTGCTTCTTCAAAACTACATCTTTCTTCTAAACATTCTCTCTCAAGGTTTCCTCGAACAAATTCTTCCAATTTCCCTGAGTTATACCTCCTCAATCGACTCAGAACTTTGGTGGCATTTTCTTGATCAAGAAAAACTGAAAATTAAAAGGAACTATTCCTCAGTGTTGGAAAAAGAAATTATCATGAATATTAAACACATCTCTTAAAAAGGCTTTGTTTTTAATCCATGTAATCCTAAAGCCAATTTTTCTCTGGTAAGTGGAGGCAAAATTTGTAATGTTACCATCGTACTGCATACCCATGGGGATTTAGGAATTTAAATTAAATTTTACTTTCAGTCATGAGATCTCCAATAATAAAAGGTCACATTTAAAAAAATCATATTTGAATTTACTTTGGATGAAATGGAAGTTCTCAAATAAGCAATTAACTTCACACTTTGTCATCATTTGAAAATAACTCATTGCAGATCCTTGCAAGGTGATCCATCACCCCAGCCAGGCTGTGTCAACATGCAGTTGTCCATGACTTGCAACAAACATCTCTTCAAGAAGCCTCATTGTGATCCAGTTGCAATTGTAACCTTAGCACCTCGCACTACATGTTAAAGGAAAATCACTGCAATAAAACCAGCTTCAGAACCACAATGCCTTCAGTTGTTTAGCTATGACTGCTTAGTTTGTAGGGACTATTCTAAATGCTGAAAGATTGAGGCCTTCATCCAAATTCTGTTCATTGTTACCTCCTTTCCTTGTCTGTCTTGGTGTCTTTGTGTCTATGTTTGCATATATTTCTTTTTTTCTTCATGCATTTATATATACACATACATGTATACATCTAGACATATATACCCAGATATATGTATATATTTGTATACCCACATATATGTATATTTTGTTTATTCATGAATAACAGGAACTCTAGAAGATGCCTACAATTGTTCTGTTATTTAGCAAATCACAAATATTCCTGATGCCACCCATCAGGACCAAGTACTTACAAGTTGAATTTTCCAGGACATTTGAGAATATTTATTTTTTGCTTGTCCTGGGACTTGAACTCAGGGAGGTACTCTGACTGAGCTTTCTGCTAAAGGGTAGTGCTTGAGCCACATTTCCACTTCTAGTGTTTCGGTAGTTAATTGGAGTTGAGTCTCATGGAGTTTCCCTCCTGGGCTGGCTTTGACCCATGACCCTCAGATCTCAGCTTCCTGAGTAGCTAGGATTACAGACATGAGCCATCAGCACCCAGCCAATAATACTTTGTTATTACTTCAAAAAGAAAGGAAACTAAACTTTATTGCCTTATTTTCACTGCAGCTGTTTACTTTATGGAACATTCTAGTGCCTTGGTTTCTTTGCTTTGGGCCCACTTATTTTTCTGAGTTGGGTCTAGGTTTTTCCTTCCATTCTTTACATGCAAATTCCCCCAATCCCTTATTCCGTGTCAGTGCTGCTCCGGACCTGCAATCCCATGCTCTAGAACAATGTAACATCTGCCTCTTTTTTTTTTCTTTTTTGTTTGTCGGTCACAAGGCTTGAACTCTGGGCCTGGGCGCTGTGTTTCAGCTCTTCAGCTCAAGGCTAGCACTCTACCACTTGAATCACAGTGCCACTTCTGGTTTTCTGGTGGTTTATTGGGGGTAAGAATCTCACAGACTTTCCTGCCTGGGCTGGCCTTGAACAGCAACCCTCAGATCTCAGCCTCCTGAGTAGCTAGGATTACAGGTGTGAGGCACTGTGCCCAGCACCATCTACCTCTTGTTTCTCTTGTGACTTAGCTGAGCAACCAGAGGTGGTGGATCACCAATTGCCTATGAGTACTGCTGAAGATTGATACCTTTAATCTTTGCTAGGCCTGCCTTTCTGTTCAACACTCCATTTACTTAGCTCTGGATACTCCTAAATATCATCCAGGTCTGCATTCATTTTTAGTGTGGGTGAATTGGTTTAGAATCAAGTCAGGCAGAACTGAGCTTGAATCACCTATCTGGCTCCAGTTCGCTGTGTGAACTTGGACAAGTCACATAATCTTCGAAACTTAATTTCTCAACTGTAATGCAGGTATGTTGATGGTATAATTCTACCTCACTACATCTTTGATTGCCCTATATAAGACAATGTGCATTGGTTATTTCTTTCTCCTCCCTCCTATCATGCTGGCCCTTGTCTCTCCTTCTTTAGCTCTTTAAGATGTTATTGTAGTTCTTTGTCTTCCCTTGTATCTGATAAAAATAACTATTGTCCTGATCAGAAATAACCTTCTCAATGATGTTTGGCTTTATAAATTCCCCAATTGCTCTAGGACGTTTACTAATTGTGCATCTCTCCCTTTTTAGGATACTTTCCATGAACTCTCTGTAATATGATTCTTCATCTTTGCTTTCATTCTTATTCATCTATCTCTAGATCAATTCCTTTTTCCTTGCCTGGCTGGTAAATATAACTTCTCTTAGAGTCCATCCTCAGCATTTGCCCATTTTGTTTCATGTATCTTTTCCAGGACCAGTGCTCGGTGAGGTCTGTAACATGTCCTGGTCACAACATTAAAGTAGCTTTCCTTCTCAGTGTGTACAGTATGTTTATGCCACATAGGTATCACTTGTCAAACCCTAGTGTGGTCCTGACCCTTTCAAGAACATTGACTACTTCTAGACGCTGAATTAGGTAGCACAGGATCCATAGTCACTCTTTTTTTTTTTGGTCATGGGGCTTGAACTCAGGGCCTGGGTGCTGTCCCTGAGCTCTTTTGCTCAAGGCTAGTGCTCTAACACTTGAACCATAGCACCACTTCTGGCCTTTTCTGCGATTAATTGGAGATATGAATCTCACATTCCTGCCAGGGCTGGTTTGGCACCATGATCCTCCTGAGTAGCTAGGATTACAGGTATGAGACAAAGGTGCCCGGCTTTCCCTGGATACTCTTACATGACTATGATGACTGCTTATACCACACTTAGTCCCAAATACACATCTTCAGGCAGATGTATCTTCTATATTTGAAATTACCTTTCCAGCTGTGCTAGACTCTGGGCTCACATCTTTGCATTCAATGTTTCACTTATTCCTCACTATAATCTATGAGGTAGGTATTGTTTACTCATTTTTCTAAACGAGAAAACTGAGATTCAAAGGGGTTAAGTGATTTGCTCAAGATCACATACTAGAGCTTCACGGCCAAGGTTAGACTCTGACAATTGGAACACAGAGAACTGTGCTGTGTCTTTATAATCAAGACTCAGTCATACTCTCCATACTTCCCCTAAACCTTCTATACCCACATGACATAATAAGTCTTATCAGTTCTATTTTAATATAATTAAAATCCCCCTAGTTTCAGTAGCTACTCTCTAGGTTCTGGCCCTTTTACTTTCTCTACATAATTCCAATAGCTCCAAGATTGGAGACCAGTCTTGCCCCTAGTCTCGCTTGGCCTCCACATCAATTTGAGTGTTCCCAGAGTACAGATCCTAAACTCAAGTATATTTCTTTTTCTTTTTTTTTGTCTTTTCTTTTTTGGTACTGGGGATCGAACCCAGGACATTGCACTTGCTAGGCAATCGCTTTGCCACTGAGCTACATCTCAGCCCTTCTTTTTCTTTTTCTTTTTGTCAGCCATGGGTCTTGAACTCTGGGCCTGAGCACTGTCCCTGAGCTCTTCAGCTCAAGGCGAGCTCTCTACCACTTGTGTCACAGCACCACTTCAGCTTCTTCTGCTTATGTGGTGCTGAGGAATGGAACCCAGGGCCTCAGGCATGCAAAGCAAGCGCTCTACCACTGAGCCACCTTCCCAGCCCTCAAGTATATTTCTTAATGTTCACACTTCTGATACCTCCACACTGCATTCTATTATCTAATCTCCTAAGCTTAGGACCCAGTCCTGCTTAGTTCTTCCGCCTCACTCGTGACAGTCAATACTCAAACCAGATGGAGCTCCTGAAATGACTTACATTATTATAGATGTAGATGGTTGGACATAAGGATTCCTGTTTACAAAGAATGCTGTAGATAAAACATGTATGGGTAGTAAGCTTCTATTCATTTCTTGTGACTCATCTTCAAATATTATCTCTCATGTATTTTTTCATTTATTGTATTCTGTTTTCTGTGTTCTCTTAACATGTGGCACACATTTTTATTACATATATTGATCACACTTTAAAAAATCAATATATTGAAATATCTTACCTGACTTCATTGTACTTTAGATAAAAGTTGATTCCCATGCCCCTCTTATGTTGCCATAGTAACTGGCAATATTGTAGTAATTCATTAACGTTTGAATGAATGAAACATACTTTCTATCCATATACTTTACAAAACTGAATTGGTTTAACCAAGCAATTAAAAATTCAAATTAATGCAATAATGCCCAAGAGTAACAACCATGAGCACATAATATCACCTCCTTTTAGTTTAGAAGCCATTGACAGTTCTACAACAGAAGAGAATGCTATGTAAATAGTATCCATCATTAGGGAAATTCGAGCCCCTCTCCTGGGCCTATTATCTCTTACCACATGGCTCCAGAATCCCACTGCTTTTTTTCTTCACTATTGTCTGGGAGTCATAGATTTCAACCTCCCTTCAGAATTATCTCTAGCAATTATGGCCCCAGTATTAAAGTCCTGGTTCCTCTTTCTTTTTATCCTTTTTCTTGTCACATGAGGTCATCAGTGGAGTACCACCCTCCTATAACCTTCATCCTCAGACCATTTCTTTGAAAGAAAGGGTTTGGGTCCCTTGTCCTCCTATATGTGACTCTGATGACATATGTCTAATGACCTGATTTTATGGTCTGTTTTGGGAGTTTTCCAATGTATTTTTCTTAATCTCAACTCTGCCCACTTTGCTAGGTTCAGTTTAACCTTTGCATTCTTACATCACTATTTCAGCCTTTCAGTGTGATTCCATAGCTGACATCATGTCTGGAGTGGGAGGCACAGGACCAGTCTGTTTTCTGCCGATGCTTAGGGTTGGAACCCCTGATCCTAACACTCTCAGTTACTAGAGTTGATTTCAGTAGGTTGATGAGTTAGTATGATAAATCCTTCCTGTGAGAATGACTTGCTTGTGTAATTGGCCACGTTCTTCCCTATGTTCTTTCCCCTGGGGAATAAAGTCATTTTTGTTGCCCCCAAACAAAGTGATATACATTTTGTTAAGTAAATTTCTACTCTCTGTATCAACTCATGGATTTGCTTCTGTCCCCTAAGGAGCTAAGCTAAATATTGAGTTTCCCCAAATGTCAACTGTGACATGGGGCATGTGGAATCACAAACAAAATGACTTACCCAATCCATAAAAAAACTCTTACAACAAATAGCAAGTCGCTAATATAAAACTAGTCTTCCTGTTTCAACTGAAAATTTAAATTCAATGCATATACTTTTAATGAACTTTACAACTTTGGTGGGTTGAGGGGTGGTGGTGGGGGTGGTGGTGGTAGGGGGTAGGGGGTATGGGGGTGGACAGGGGAAGGGATGGGAAGGGGAAACAAAGGAGGAGGCAACAATGCTTGGTAAGAAATGTACTCACTATCTTGCCCATGTAATTGTAACCCCTCTGTATGGTATTTTCACAATAATAAAAAAAATTAGAAACAAGCCTTGTATAGCTTTCAAATTCTCAGACATGTCATGTGTCTTCAAATAAGACTTTTCATGTAAATAAGATCACTGCTTGTAGTTTTGATGATTTTCTTATTGATTTCAAAATGTGAGTCTAAAAACTCAAAGCTAACAATTTGTTCTTCATTTCTGCAGTTTCTTTGTTAAGAGATATTTTCTCCCACTTTCAACATTTTTCAACTGAAGAGACAAATGTTTTCTAAGAGGAATTGCGTTGTTAAATCATAAGCCCAACAGTGTCCATTAAATAAAAATACATCACAGCCATTGTAAATCTAGTTAATCTTAAAAGCGAAGAAGAAAATAGCTCAGCTACTAAATGGCCAGAACTTACCAAACCACATGCTGACTGCTAGACTCCTTTATGTTACTGTCATATCCTGTAATCACTATTTGGGGAAAAAGACAATTCCGGACAGTTCTATATCTGAACAATCATACTCAATGTACTTTTAGAATAGAAACACACCTGTACATTCAGCACTGAGTAGATATCCAAGAAGGCAAATGGTGATGAGGCCTGGTGATTCTGCCATGACTGCATTCAAGCGCTGCACGACCTTTGCTAGTAGGTTATGCAAGTGACAGGGCTAATCATTTGTTCCAAAGTACAAGCTGAGCTCTATTTACTTCTGGGAAATAATGTCCATCTCCCTCAGTGGATCTCTGGGCTATGTCCAATGGCGTCTTTGGTCAAGAGAACAGAATGGGCAACAGTCATTATTGAAAACACCTCTGATTTCATGAGCTTCTGCACTGTGGCTTCAAGGCTAAATCAGAGAAGGGTATGAATTCTGAATTGGGATACATTTACCTTGGTAACAAAATGTGTTGGAGGGAGCTATTTTTTCTGTGCCTGAAAACAATATATCCTGCTATTTCAAAGTAAAAGGATTAGAATGAGTCATTTGGCCATTTATCTTAAAATATGTTAACATGTGTACTACTCTGACTCATATGATGGGTGGATCCTTTATGTTTTTCTTCATGATCAAGAATGTGTAACCTGTGTTGCATCATGTGTCCATATGGGGGTATGTGTGGACCCTGCCTCTGAAAATGTTTGCATAGATGTTTACACATACATATGTGGATGGATGCATTTGCACACAGGATTCTCATGTATATATCCATACATACATATATTCATACATACAAACATATATGTGTTGTAGGAAAAAACAATTTTTTGAATGTTTTTACATACTAATATATATTAATATATGATGTTATACCACAGCCTATATAATATTAAACATTCATGAGTATACCATAATTTACTTGCCATTCCTTGTGATATTTAGAAAGTTTTCTTTGACATATACTGTAATTCTAATATTGCGATATTACTTTTACTTTAAGCAATCAGCACAATTTTATAGAAAATTTTAAATAAGGAAATACACACACACACACACACACACACACACACACACACACACACACAAGTTCTGATATTCTCCATTTTTTTGTGTAGAATCCAAGTTCCAATTTGTTATATTTTCATGACTAAAGAATTTTCATTCACAATTTTGATAGTATAAATCTCATGATAAATTTGTTTAGCTTGTGTTTATCTGAACATGGCCTCATGTTACTTTCATTGAAAAAAACTATTTTTACAGGTTATGGAATTCTAGGTTGAGTATTTAAAAATGTTAACATGTTAAAGATGATATCCTACTTTCTTCTAGCCTCATCATTTCTAATGAGAGAGTTACAAATAGTTTTATCACTGAGATTTTGAAACTTGACTCCATGAAACCAATATAGTCTCAGGATTCATTGAGATGCTTCCATCCATAGTTTGATAGTTTTAATAAAATGTGGAAAGTTTTTGGACTTTGATTTAAATTTTTTGAAGTAATTATAAACTCATCCATAGGTTGATAGTTTTAATAAAATGTGGAAAGTTTTTGGACTTTGATTTAAATTTTTTGAAGTAATTATAAACTCATAGGAAATAGCAATATCAGTGCACAGAGACTTTCTGTAACTTGTGGTTACTCCCATTGTTCCTTTCTTGTGCAAATATGGCACAGTTTTAAAACCAGGTAATGGGCATTGATATAATGCATGCATATTAACACATATATTCTGTGGGGCACATGGGCGGCAAAGATGGCGCTGAGAGGGAGTTGAGTGGGCAGAGCCCAAGTTGTTTATGTTAAAATCTGACTGGATACCACAACCTGGCCAAGTGACATCAGTGCGTGAACAGCTCACGGACAGCAGGGAAAGTATAGAAAGCTTAGGCACATGATAGGGTGACCTCTACAGTGATTGGTTTGTTCCTTTTCCTCCCCTTCCATGCCACGCGGTTTTTTTGCTTTAAAAAATGCTTGCTGTGTGGTAATAAATGAGTTCCTGTTTGACTTGACTCCCCACTGCTTCTGTCTCTAGGGCTAGGGGAGGCTGGGGAACAGGCAAGCGGCTGACTTACCTTTCCTCAGACCCTGTCCGTCTTCCGCTGGACGGATGAAGACCCAACAATATTCTAGTTATTTTACTATATGTAGATGTGTGTAACCACCACTACAAATAATATTTAGGGATCCTCTGTTCTCATTGATATTTCCTTTGTAATCACATACTTTATAATCACATACCTCCTTCCCCCACTCATTCCTAACTCCTGGTGCCACTAATCTGCTTTGTGTCTACAAAGAGGATGTTGTATGAATAGATTCACTCAGGAGATAACCTTTGTGAGATTGGCCTTTTATTTTTTTTGTCATTCAGCACGATGTTCTTGAAATCCATGTAGGTTTCAATTGTAAATTCCTTTTTAGTGCTTAGTCTTCCATAATGTATCACAGCTTAATGTTTCACTAACTAAGAGTTTAGTTGTTTCCAGTTTTTTGATTGTTGTGGTCATGTGCTATAAGCATTTATGTACAGGCATCTGTGTAGATGTAGCTTTTTAATTTATCTGGGATAAATGTTAAGAAATAGAGTTTCCTGCTCATCTAGATTTTTGCCCAACTTTTTGTCCACATGGCAGCACACTTTATGTTTCTACCAACAATATTTGAGTGATGCAGTTTTCCTACATTCTTGCAAACATTGAATATTATTACTTTTTTTTTTGGTCACAACATTGGAGCTTTAACTCAGGGTCTATGTACAGCTCTACAGCTGTGCCGCTTGAGCAATACCTCTATGTTGGCCTTGTTACTAGTTAACTGGAAATAAGTGTTTCTTGGAATTGTCTGTCAGGGCTGGCTTCCAATTGGGATTATCAGATCTCAGCCAGTTGAGTAGCTAGGATTACAGGCATGAGCCATAGGTACTGGACTTATTTTCACTATTTTTATTTTTGCCTCCATAGGTATGGAGTTATACTGTATCATGTTCTGGTCATACGTGTATCCTGTTCAGTGAAATGTCTTTTCATGTTCTGCTCATTTTCTAATTAGATTTTTAATTTTTTACAATGGATTGTAAGGCAACTTGTCCTAATAGTTCTGTGAATTATAAAAGAACCAAAATTTATTTCTAAGTATATTAATTATAGTTATTACAATAGCATAAAAGCAGAAACAACTCAATGTTTCTCACCTGATGGCTGGATAGAAAAAAGTAGACTACCCATGAAATAGAACGATGTATTTATAAATACTACAATATAGATAGACCCTGAAGCATGTTAATTCATAGAAGCCATTCACAAAGGGCCAATAAGGCATTTATGTTTGTGTGTGTGTGTATTTCAATTTATACAAAGTGTCCAAAATAGAAGACAAACCCATTGAGGCACAAAGTCCATTCGTGGAAATGTGGATATTATTGAACTATAACACTTAGCTGAACATACTAAAAGATACTGCTGTGATCGAAAGCAACTTGGAAAGCAACTTGTAAGGAGGATGGATGGAAAATGAGGAATGAAGGGGCCTACAAAGGAAGTTTTATTTTGTATAAATCCCATTTGTATGCTAGCTGCTGGTGGCTCAGGCTTACAAGCTTTGATTTTTAGGAGGCTAAGATCTAAGGATTTTTGGATCAAAGCTATGTTGGGCAGACAAATCCAAGACTCTCCAATTAACAACCAAGAGGTGTGGTCCAAGTGGAAGCCTTAAGCAGAAGACTAAGTGAGAGTAAGAGGCCAAGAGTTCAAGCTCCACTACTGGCATACAAAACAATCAAACAAACAAAAAATCCCCTTTGTCATCACATTGGAGCTTTTTGCATGGTTGATTAGTCCAAAATATGGCAGAATAGGTTGGGGCAGTTTTGGGCAAAGTATTCTACAGAGCCAGGCAATCCAAAAAGGGTTGCACCTGCAAACCATCAGAATGTATAAATGTGAAGATAATAAATACACCAGCCAATCCAAAGACAAGAAATGAAGTTTGCATGGGCTAGATCATTGGTCCATCTGAGGTAGTGATTCTTTTAAAATTTTTCACATTTTTAATTGAAATGATCATAGTATATTATTTTGGGATACAGTATGATGTTTTGACACATATACATAATGGAATGATCAAATTGGAGTAATCATTGTATCCATCACCTTACGTCATTATCATTTCTTTGTGGTGAAACCATTTAAAGTAAACTCTATAGGGATTTTGGAATTTATTAGCTATTATCACACCACTGTGAAATGTATCACCAGCACATATTTCATAAATGAAACATTGTACTCTTTGATATCTTCTCTCTCCCTCATCTCCCCATTTGAAGTTGGGGTGGTCAGGGCCAGTGGATGGGTGTAGTTAGAACAAAGAGAATGGTGTGGAGTGAAGGAAAAATCAAACAAATGCATGAGAACTGGGCATGTGGCACAATGTGTCAAGGACACAGGATAAACCCTGTCTCTTGCTGAGAAGAGGCCAGCTAGAGCATTTCTCCAAATTGACAGTTGAGGATTATAACCATTCAGATGAACTTAGCCACTGTGTTGAATTCTTTTTTTTATTTTATTTTATTTTATTTTATTTCAATTGAGAACATACTGTACAGAGGGGTTACAATTACATGGGCAGGAAAATGCATACATTTCTTACCAAGCATTGCAGCCTCCTCCTTTGTTTACCCTTCACCTCCCTTCCCAGCCTCCCCCGTCCCCCCCACCCAGTCATACTCCCCCTCCCTCCCCCCCACCGACATTGTAAAGCTGGTTTTGACATGACATTTTGTACTTCTCATTGTTGCAACAGGTCCACCTGAATCCTTAAACGACTTGTTTGTCCCCGTCTCCTCCACATGTTATACTGACATCAAATATAGTGAAAGCGGGGGTTACACTGTGGGGGAGGGACATACAAAGCAACAAAGAAATAATATTATAAATGCGTTAGAAACACATGCATGAATGAAACAAAAACATTAAAATACATATTTGAGGGTTCGTTTTCCACTGTGTTGAATTCTGACTGCTTACAGGATGACATCTCCATTTGTCTAGATTTGGCCAAAATGGAGCCTCTAAAAATGGTCTAATTCAAATGTCACAATATGCTTTCTTCCAGTAAACACAACCTCATTGAGGAACTACTTGAAATAGTTGGCAAGTGAATTAAGCGGA